AGTCAGATAGTCCAGAAATAATGAGCTCAGCTGGTAAATAAAATAACGCAGTGACACTCCGGGTGCTCTTCAAGGGGAGCCCCATGTAGAGAGCGTTTCAGTAGTCCAGGCGGAAAGTGACAAGGGCATGAGTGACTGTGTATAGGGAGTCCCATTTTGAAAAGATGTGTTTTATGATTTTTTTTGTTTTTAAAAAATTAAAAAAAAAATTAAAAAAATCATTGGGAAAGACTCAATAAGTGGATAAAAATGCCAAATCTATTCTGATCATCTGGCTGACTGTGTGATGAACAGTAATAAAATAAATAACAAAATAACCAGCTTAACTAAATAAGAGATATGACAGCCACAAGAAAGCCATACATCCTATATCTAAGTGTTGATAGTCATTGAATAAAAATAAATAAATAAAAGTCTCTTTTCTATGAACTGATTCCATTTAAAAGGGATGGAATAATTAAGATTATTCTTAAAGTATTTTGGACATTAGTAGACTGAATGTAATACCTTTCTGTAATATAAGTGTTTTCCTGAAAGCCTGAGTAACTTCAGAGCCATTTATAGATTCAGAAGGAATACAGTTAAATCTAAATTTCTTCCTTGCACGATTTAATAGCTAAAGTGCACTGTCTTTCCTTCCTTCCTCCCTCCCTCCCTCCCTCCCTCCCTTCCTTCCTTCCTTCCTTCCTTCCTTCCTTCCTTCCTTCCTTTATTTATCAAACTTGTGTGCTGTCCGTTCCACCAAAGGCAGCTGTAGGTGGCTTACAGACATTGAATAAAATACAGAATAAACCATTAAAACAATAAATAAAGTTTAAAATTCAATTAAAATAAAACTAAGCAGAATGGAGAGGGAGCAAAGTGTACGCAGGGAGAAGGTGTGGTGTTTTTACTCCATTAGCCACCTCCAATGTGTCACTTCCCCATAGGGGATTCCAGGCTAATTGGTGTAGCCACGACTCCAAGGCCTTTTGGAAGGCCAAAAGGGTGGGAATGGATCTGATCTTGATCAGATAGTGGCAAAAGGATCTTACTCAGGGGCATCATGTAGTTGGTAAAAAAGGAGTAGAGAAAATATCAAGACCTGAAGCATGCCACGAAGACGCAGTTGTGGACTGGACCTCTCACTCCCTATCAATATAAATTGGGATGACTCTGGAAAAAGGATCCAAACCAGCACAACACTTCATCATTCAGCTCTAAACTCCATAGCTGGCCTAAAAGGATATCAAGAAAAGAAAAGAAAAAGTATTCTTATAAGACTGCATAATTTCGAAGAAGCACCTGTACCTTGTACCTTTGTAACAAAGTATAACACGATTGATATACATGAGTGAGTTTCATCCCTTTATATTCTCATGTTTTAATGGATTATTTTTTTTCCTAGAAACCATTAGAAAAATTACTTTACCCTAGATTAATGTTGTACTGGAAATATTTTCCAATCAATTCTCAGTTATTTGATTCTTTATGTCATTTAAAGCTACTTTGTACAGTTAGTTGTTTCAGATATTATGAAATTGTTACAAATTGCACCCCTTCTTTTTTGATTGGTCTGCATTTTCCTATTTATTAATATTCAGTATATTCTGTCTTCATTTGTCTTTCATGTTCATAGAAAGAATAAATGAAAATATAGGATTTCTATCTAGGTAGATGCAAATATAGATAAAGATATAGATGTAAATATAGTTACTCTTTAAAAGGTGCTAAAATGTATTTCTGCAGTTTTCTGAAAGTTCTCTCGAGTTTTATATTGTTTTTGAAAAGATTTGCTCAAATAGAAATATTTAAAAAATCACTTTTACCTAAGGCAAAATTATTCAATGACTTAAAGATGTCCAAATCTACGTTATTCTAAAGAATGCAGATTATATTAAAACCTTTTTTTTTACTGTTTATCTCTAAATCATGAGGTAGTTGGTCCACATATGAATAGTTGGTCCACATAAATGGTTATTATATTTCAAAATATTTTCTACAGCTTGGACGAAAACAACAAAAACAATTACTTCCCTATGATAAAAAGACACATTTTTTTTAAAAAAAAAATGGAAATTAATTATGATACCATTAACTTTGGGGATGAACTGATTTTCTTTTTATCTGTTAAATGACATAACAATGGAAGTCTGCATTACTGGAGAAACATCAAAAATCATTTTGGAAAATAATCTTCCGTAAGTGTTTTTATGGCAGCATCAACTGATCAAAGTGTATTACATTAAAAGTAAACTTATCTTGGAATTGTACAAACCCTTTAGAACTGTAATTCTTGTAGGAAAATCAGGATTTGCACTTTTCTGATTTATTATTTTATTTATTTCTATAAATACTTTAGTACTGTAAAGCCTATATAGTACAGGTGTAAAGTGTGTCCATAGTTGGGTGTTACTGGAATCACAAATATATGCCACATTCAGGATTATTTGCAGTCTTTGAATGATTTTTAAAGTCAGATCAAGTAAAATATATTACACAAAATATTATCTGTCAATATTTAGAATGCTTCTAAACTGTAGTTTCCCCAGAATACATGAATTCCTTAATTAATTTTGACCTTTATTTTTGTATCAATTAAACATACTAAGAGGAAAATAACAGTGAAAAATCACAGTCAAATCACATATCTAAAAAGAATCCAGTAAACTATCCCTCTGTTAATGTTAAGTGGTTTCATATTTTTTTTCTTAAACAAACAAACTCATTTGTAATCTATTTTTCACAGTGCCCTAGAATATTCCTTTATATCTTAAAGAGATAGATACTTACAATTTTTGTTTATTTATTATTTGTAGTGACTATATTCATCATATATTAATCTTTTCTATCTGATTTTCTTTTGGACAGATCTTATTTTTCTTGAATCATCTGACATGGAAAATCAGACTGAAATAAAAGAGTTTATACTCTTGGGACTCTCAAAAGATCCTCATCTACAAGATTTTCTTTTTGTCTTGTTTTTAATCATCTTTTTAGTGACATTATTAGGCAACATGATGATTATACTTGTGACCAGGATTGAGTTTACCCTCCAGACTCCCATGTTCTTTTTTCTCAGACATTTGGCTTTTGTCGACATCTGCTATTCATCAGTTACTGTTCCAAAATTGTTAGGAAACCTCATAACAAAGAAGAAAACAATTTCTTGGGAAGGATGCATTGCACAGAATTTCTTCCTTTTCCAAACTGTTTGTGCAGAAGTGTTCATCCTATCAGCAATGGCTTATGACCGATATGTTGCTATATGTGATCCACTACATTATACCATAAACATGACAAAAGAAACTTGCAGACTGTTAGTGGGTACGTCCTGGGGAATGGGTTTCTTGTATGGTATGGCAAATGTACTGCCTTTGTTAAATGTGCATTTTTGTAGTGACAATATCATCAGACATTATAGCTGTGAACTTCCCTCACTTTTGGCCTTGTCTTGTACGAAGAACATCATCAATTATATTGTTCTTCTTATCTCTGTCTTTATATTTGGTTTGAGTTCATTTCTTTTCACCCTGGTGTCTTACATTTACATCATTTCAACCATCCTGAAAATTAATTCAGCAGAAGGCAGGAAAAAAGCATTTTCCACTTGCAGTTCCCACCTCATTGTAGTGGGCTTATTTTACATTACAGGTTTCATCAGGTACACGAAGCCAAGTTTAGAATCACTCATGAATTTGGACAAAGTGATCTCTATTCAGTATAGCATCCTAACTCCAATGCTGAATCCCATCATATACAGTCTCAAGAACAAAGAGATCAAATCTGCTTGGGTGAAGCTGTTTGGAAAATATAACCCCATTTCTAATCCATAAATAATAATAATAATCTGTAGCACTTTACTCTGAACACCATAGCCCTTCTACTTACAGCCTAGGAGAAAAATAGCCAGATGATTTTCCTATCTCTCTAATGTCCCCACTAACAAAAGTCGGAGGATAATTATATCTGCAATATGAGAATACTTCTTGTCTTCATTTGTCCTGGCTGGTATAAAGCCATAGATCTTTAACAAAATATATAAGATTGACATATTTTAACTTTGCAATTTAAATCAGTTTAATTTGTCTCTTCCTTAAATATGCATGCCATTAGCTAACAAGTCATTCTGTGTGCATTTTTTATAATACACTTTACATTGATCTGTTTTTAGGTATAAGCATTTAGTAGCAAATTTAGCAGAAATTGAAATATGTTATTATTATCTTTTGATTAAGGTTCAAGACTTGTCATTTAACATTCATGTACCTAATTCACAATTGTTGTAACTGTAACTGAAGGATAGTCTCATAGAAGTTGTACCATCATGTAGAGAAATTCATGTATTAGAGGTACAATAAAGTTATGGGCTTAATAATAAAGACTAAGATAGCATTTTATATGCTTGATAATTTAACACTTGTTTACATTGTTATACTTAAGTAATTTTAAGGGGTTAAATCAATAGCTGAAATCTTTCTTCACTGCCCTTTTATTTAAAAGTACATCATTACTTTCTTCTTTCTATAATTTATTCTGTGTAATCATGAAAACTATAAAATGTAAGTTCATGTATTTTTTGTTTTACACAAACAGTTCATAAGAGCTTTCCAGTTCAGCAATAAGTGTAGATATTGCCTTTTTTTTTCCTGATCAAAGAAATTTGGCCATCTCAGAAAATTTCATCATCTTCACAACCATTCCTTCGTTGTAGGTATTGCAGAACCTTTCCATCTTTGTCCAGTTATTATATAAAAAAAATAAACTTTTACAACTTTTTACAACTTTTGTCCATCAATCTCAAAAGAAAGATTTCTGTTATATCAGTCTTTAACATCCTCTGAATCACTGGATGCATTTGAATTGAAAATTTTCCAAGTCCATCAGGTTAACAAGTCCATCAAGCATGATTAATGTATTTTCTTGTTCACATTTGCAACATAGATTTGAAGTGCCTTTATACATTGTAGACAACTTCTATTGCTGAAAAATTGAATTTTGTGCAGAGCTAGAGCTTGGAAATTTGCCCCATTGAACAACTGTTCTTTCCTATTATTTGGCTTGTCCCGTAATGGTTTCAAGAATCAAACTGTTTTTTCTTTCTTTACATTTCTACAATTGCTTTAGTTAATACTAAAAACTATGCCTTGCATAGTTTTAATTTACATTCTAAATCCTAGAATGTAAATCTAAATTAAAAAAAAAAAAAACTAAGTTTTGCCATGGGATTCCTGTTTCAACTTGATCATGGTTTGTAATGCCTATATAAGTTTGTTACAATAATCAATTGTTGTTTGCAAGAAAAGTCATATCTTTCAAGGAATGAAATTTTGGCATTAGTTTTAATTGTAATTAGTATTCTCAATATTCAATTTTTATTTTAATTTCTATGTTTTGTTTTCATCAATGATTGCTAGTATAACTGACTATCCTTTGCAGATTTCTAAGTACTACTATAGTCTTCACATTTCTAATCTTCTCTTTTAGTTTTTGATTTTTCCAAATTGAATAGAAAAACATAGTCCCAAAATTATATCATCATTGTCTTTGCATTTTCATACCAGGATTCAGACAAAATTTGCCTTTTCTTCATTTTTGTATTTATAGTGATTATTTGTATTTAATTACTCAGTAACATTCATAAGAAATATAGTTATGATGGTGGTTATAATAAGTAAAGCATTTTTCCCTTTTTTTCCCTTTCTGTTCTTCCAATGTTATACATGCTTTCCTTTGGGAAGAGCAATGCACCAATATTAATCCTCAACAGAGTTTATGCTGAGTTGCAGAAATGTCCTGGGATGAATTCCATAAGGAATATTACATCATTGTCTCTCCCTCTCCACCAAAATATGTTCATATGATGCTTAGTAAAAACATTGTAGTTCTTAAAAGTACTGAGAAAATGACATTCTCAAAACCAAATTCAAGGGCTACCTATTATTCCCTTGAAACAAATAATATACTATTTAATATAGCTTTAATAAGAAAATTAAATCTCCTTTCTTTTTCACTTTAGTATGAATGATACTAAAGTGAATAGAAATAGAAAATAGATTAGGTATTTCTCCCTTTTTTCATGGAAAGTTTCATTATTTTCCCTGAAGAATCTTGAATTGTTGCAGACATATCATCAAAATAAACTGTAGTCTCACAGTGAGTAAATCATGGAAATTCTGATTTAAGTATTTTTTTTTCTTTAGAACCTATCCTGTGTCATAATTAATATATTTTGTATAATATTTTTCCTACCATCTAATTCTTTGCATATTATCATTATGTGAGAGAACATGTAAGAAAAATATAGGTAATTGTACATCTCCACATAATCCCAAAACCATATGGAGATATTATCAAAGTATCATTCTTTTATCTTTACATGGGGGCGGGGACGACATTATTTTCCTCAAACCAACTACTTTATTACCATTTCACTTTAACTAAATATGATACATTTTTAAGCACTGTGATGGAGGGAAATTGCAAAAAACCCAATTTATCTTAGCCTAACCAGCAAAATTCTGGAGGAGTTTGATAACACTTTTTCTAATGAATACACTTTATGAAAAGATATACAGGTAGTCCCTACTGAATAATAGTAATTGAGCCTGGGAACTCCATTGCTAAATGGCATAGTAACAAAGTGTGACATCATGTGATTATGCTGACTTGTGAGAGCAATTGCAGAAATTTTAGTTGTACTTATTAAGTGAATTCCATGCAATCATTAAGTACAACAATACATGATTGTCATTTACGACTTTCTTTTGCTTGTCAGAAACTGACAGTGAAGATCACTAATTGCAATTTCATGGCTGAGGGAAATTGTGATCTTTGTGTTTCTTATCTGGTTGCCAAGGATCCAAATAGCAAGCATGTCTTGACTATTGCAATGTGCTCTACATGGGGCTACCCCTGAAGACCATCCAAAAGCTCCAGTTGGTGCAAAATTCAGTGGCTCGCATGGTGTGCGCATGTATCACCTCTCCTACGGGAACTGCATTGACTGCCAATTTGCTTCTGGGTGCAATTTAAGGTGCTGTTTGTAACTTTTAAAGCCTTTCATTATTTGAACCAGATTATTTGTGAGACCGTCTCTTGTTGATCATCTGTCTGATCCACTAAAGTGGGAAGGCAAGGAATGTTGCAGGTACCATCCCCTAGGGAGATACACCTGGTGGGACCCAGAAGAAGGGCCATTTCTCTGGAACATCATTTCCCCAGAGATTAGACTGGGCCCCACTCTAACACTCTTTTGGATGCACTGAACCATGCACTGAATACATGGTTCTGACAGCCGGGCCTAGGGAACCCAGAGCAGAATGGACCTCTTAAATGAATGTGTGTTGTTGCCAGGGTGGGGGATAGAGAGTTATTATTTTATTATTTTTCTTTTTATTATTCTTATTATTTTAATATGGTGTTTTTATATCCATGCAAGTCACCTTGAGTTGCCAAGTGCAAATAGGCAGCAATAAAAATTTTCTAAAATAAATAAAAACTGTGTCTGCAGGGATACTCCAATGCCTGAAATTACAAGAAATAGTTGTAAGTTTCCTTGATCGGCACTGCCATAATTTTGAATAGTCAGTAAATGAGTGAAGACTACCTATAAACTTCCAGATAAGCTTATGCTTATGCCATTTATCCCATGTAACGCCTCTTCTGCGCGAGCTGCACTGGCTCCCGGTGGTCTTCCGAGTGCGCTTTAAGGTTTTGGTCATCACCTTTAGAGTGCTCCATGGCTTAGGACCTGGTTATCTACGGGACCGCCTGCTACCACCAATAGCCTCCCACCGACCAGTACGCTCCCATAGAGAGGGGCTCCTCCGGGTGCCATCGGCCAAACAATGTCGACTGGCGGCCCCCAGGGGGAGAGCCTTCTCCGTGGGGGCACCTACTATCTGGAACGAGCTCCCCCCCGAAATACGGAGGATTCCGGATCTGCGTACCTTCCGTCGCACGCTTAAGACGTTCCTATTCCAGCAAGCCGGCCTGACCTAAACTTCTCCTCTTTTAAATGGGAATTTTAAATTTGGTTTTAAATTATTGGGGTTTTAAATATGGTTCAGCCAAATTTATTTAACTTGTTTTATTTCTATTTTAAATTTTGTATTTATATGTTTTATTTCATGGCTGTTCACCGCCCTGAGTCCTTCGGGAGTAGGGCGGTATACAAATTTAATAAAATGAAAAATGAAAATGAAATGAATCAGATTACTTATTTGATTGCTTGTTGCTCTGTTTGTGTATATTCAATAATTATTGTTGCTCTGTTTGTGTATATTCAATAATTATTATTCTAGTATCCTATATCTACATCATTTCCACTATCCTGAACCTGAATTTATCAGAAGCCAAAAGGAAAACCTTCTCTACTTGCAGTTCTCATCTCATGATTGTGATTTTGTATTATAGCACAGGCTGTTTGAGAAACTTAAGACCCAGGACAACCTCCTCAGTCATTGTTGATGAATTGTTCTCAGTTCAGTACAACACTTCAACCCCTATGTTGAATCCCATTATCTACAGCCTGAAAGCCTGGGAAGTGAAGGAAGCTATCAAGAAACTAATGGGCTATAAACCCTTGGCTTCTCATATGGCATAAAATTATTGGATATTAAGCTTGGGCTTTTGTAATGTAAATCAATGCATTAGCTTTGAAACATACTCTGGTTCAAAATCTTTTTTGGCACATCTGAATATTTAATATAGATACCAGTTTAAGTTTTACTAATAATGATATAGTAGGTTACTAGGATTATGTTTATGATAAATCATCTTTAAATGAAAGAATAAAGTTTTGCTTTTGACAATTCCATCTCGGGGAAAATATGAAGATTTGGTTAATCTTGTTAAGATTTTCAGATTGTTTTGTAGGTTGGAATCACTTTACTTTGAATGAAGAAAGTAGTCCACTTAGATATTTTTCTCACACAAAATCCCTGATGTAGCATCTGACTCTTCTTTCTCCAATAAAAATATTTCCCACCAAATGACTTTAAAAAAAATAATAATTATAGAGCTCAGCATGAGTAGACTTGATTAGTACTTGGGGATGAAAGCAGAAAAAAAAATCATGGCTGATAGGGTACACAAGAAAGTTTTTAAAAATCCAAAAGAAAGCAGTAGGAAATTACTTATTTGCTTGTGCCAAGAAAACTATGAAAAAATTTACTATCAAACTTATATACATTTCAATGTATGAGTAACTCTTAATGTCCTAACTTGTTGCCCTAAATGTGACATATTTTCCTAAATGTACTTTTTCCAAGGCCTGGGAAGCTCCTTCTGGTATAAGTTTTGTTTTATTTTATTTTAGTTTTATTTATTTTATTTCATCAAGCATGTATTAGATAACAGATATAAGTATAACTATGATTATGAATACAGGAAATGGATATGAATAAATGGGGACATTAGGACAGGGATGGTAGGCATATTGGCGCACTTATGCACGCCCCTTATAGACTTCTTAGGAATGGGGTGAACTCAACAGTAGACAAGTATAAGGTTAAAGTTATGGGGGTTTGGTGAAGAAACCACAGAGTCAAGTAGTGCATTTTTTATTTTTTATTTTTTTAATATGGATAAAAAATGTTAAAATATAAGGCACCAACAATATAGATTGGAATAAAGAATAAAGAAAGAACCAACAATGGGAAAAGTGACTGTTAAAACAAACTTTTAACATGGAAAAACATTAATATCAATAGAAGGTGCTTTAAAGGTGAGAGAGGTCAAAAGGTTAAGGAATAGAATTCACATATAAGCACACCGGAAGATAGGCTGATCATATTTTTAACCAAAATACCATGAAAAGTACTATCTATGTATATGCAATTTTCATGGCATATGTGAAGGTCTGCTTAATCTGCAGGTGGACCTTTCCATAAGTATATATGGGGAATACTGGTATTTTTAAAAAAGTGTTAGATCATATACATCCATTGATGAGCTGATAAGTTGATAACCTGAATTTTTCATTGCATATTCACACTTATTTCTCAGTTTATTTGAGCATATTTTTAGTAATAAATCACATGAATTTTAGATCCCTGGTGGAAGAATAGCAATAGGGAACAAGGCCATAATTCAGTCATAAAGAATTTTAATTCTGATATAGTTGTAATTAACTTCACCAGATGTTATATCATATCTAAATTTTCTTCATAACTGACACAAACTCCGTAGATTTTAGTGCATGATTAAAACATTCTCCTTTCTAGTTATACCTGACTCTAGGGGGCAGTGCTCAACTCTGTTTCTTAGACATTTGGGCTTGTGAAGGCTCAGCAGTTAACAGATTAACAGAGTTGGAAGGGACCATCTAGTCCAACCCCCTTCCCAAGCAGGAGACCTTACATCTGCCTCTAGAATCAAACTCACAACCTCCTGATTGTGAGGCAAGAGCTCCACTTCTAGGCCACCACAGAGGCCAGCTTTCCAAATGATAGCACACTGAGTTTATTATTTGGAAAGCTGACAGCCGAAGTTCAAGACCCAGGACCCCAGCACCTCACAAAGGGGTGAGTGCTATTACTTGCCCCAGCTCTTGCTCATCTAACAGTTCAAAAACATGCAAATGAAAGTAGATAAATAGGTAACAATTCAGCAGGAAGGTAACAAACAGCATTCTATGCTGAAATAGAAAGTCTTTTGTTAATTGAACTTTCGCTTGGCTGTTGATGAATGTGAATGCTATTTCCAACTTGAGAAAAGAGCTGAGATCTTGTAACTGATAACAACATAGCTTTTAGGAAAGGGGCTGTGGTGTTTAGAGAGAAAAAGAAAGATGCAGAGAAGATTATCACTGTCTCCTTTTGGAAGGCTGTACTTTGCAACTGGACCACATTTTTTTCTATTCTTATAAAATACAATTGCCCATCCTTATCTTAATCTTTAATTATTATTATTTTTTTAAAAAAAGCTTTTTAGTAAAGACTTGAAAAGTACCATAAAAGATAATACAAATTAATATCAAAAAGAATAAAGAAAGTAGAAAAGAAATAAAAAGTACAGAAAGGGGAAGAAAGGAAAATGAAAAGAAATTAAAAAAGCAATATTTAAAAAAGTGGTTCCATATCTTCTTCACAAATAGAAACATATTTGATAATTATCCATTTCTCTTACAATCCACTTCTTCCCATGTCCCTCCTTTCCATTCACAAATTAAGAAATGCATAAAGAATTTCCAACATTTATGATAGGGCAGCCTTTTCCTTGTTCATATAAAGATAAATGGGAGGGGAAAGCACATTCAGTCTTGCAAGACTGATGTCAGTCCAACAGGATAGACTACACTAAGATGTCATATAGGTCAGGGCCTCTCTTATTTTTACAGTTATATTAATAAAATTAGGCATTATTGCTTACAAAGAACAGAGGTGGTATTCAGCTGGTTCAGACTGGTTCACCCAAACCATAATGGAAATTGCTGGTGGGCCTGCCCACCCAACCCGGCTCTATGCCATCTGATGTAGGCATGTTTTTGAAGCAGGGTGCATGTGCAGAAGGCTGAATGCATGTATGGAAGGCAGGTGGATGTGCAAACCAGGCACGCGGGCCCATGAAGCGAGCAGGCATGCATAGGGCAAACCGGTAGTAACATAATGTAAAACCCACCGCTGACAAAGAACGTTATCAAAAAAGGATTCAAGGATGCCATTTTCAAACAGACATGACTTGAATTCTTGAAACATATTCTCTACCTTCCTATCAATGTAAGGTTTCATTCCTATTTGGCAAAAAATAGAGTTAATCCTGTTATGTATTCCTGATACATTCCTTTCATAACAAATTAACATTTTTCTATAAACTTACAATATTATTTGAAAAGTTATTGTTTTAAGAGAAAAACAGTATATCTAAACTGTGTATTAGTTCGGTAGGTTATATTCCCTATTGATTTTGATTTTTCTGAATTCCAGGAGGAATTGTGGCATCAACTCCCTCCTTTTCTTATTATTTTCCTCCCATGAAGAATTCCTCAGACTTAAATGTCAATTGTAAAGATCCTGGGCACTTCTTTACTGTGGTGCAACTAAATCCTAGAAGGTAACTGCTTATTTCATGTGTTTTTGTTGCAAGAGGAAATAATTTTCTTTATTATGTGAAAAAGTAGTTATGTTCTTTTTCCACATTTTAATCCTAAAATCTCTCTACATAATTACCGGAATGATTGGAAAGGTGATGAGAAAAAGTGGCCTTTCAATGAGATGCATTTGTAGTACTTGGGTTGGGTTATTTTGGCTATTACCATACAAAAAGATCATTATGGCAGAGACTATTGACTTTAGCTCCTCACATAGAAACAAGCACGGAGATCCTTTGCTTCAGTGTCAGGTGCTTCAACATTAGCAACAACCTGGAGTAAAACTATATGGTTAGATGTGAGTTTCTTGCTGAAAAAAGTGTTAATCTTATCAAAGTTGCTGGCAATCATTCACTTGAAAAAGTGGAGATATTGGGTATATCTTTTCAGATGTTTTTTCAAAATTTTCAAATACTATCTGAATCTTTCTTTCTCCAATTTATCACAACAAGTTCTGACTACCTTTAAAAAACAACAACAGCATCATGTACTTACTACTTGGACAGGATGCCAAAAATGTATATGCCTGCAAAGATGGGATGAAGTGTAAGAGAGATTCAGAAAGAAGATAGTAGCAAAACATTTCTATACTAAATACTAAATTTATGTATATATATCTAGTAACCAGAAAAGCATAATACAATGATATGTTTGACAGTAAAAGGTAGGAAAGGGTTCATATTGGCTACATGAATAGGAAATTTACGAATTCTTAGAGAAAAAGAAGCAAGTGAATTTACACTAAAAATAATGGATAGCAAAATAGCATTTCATCTTTCAAACATATCTGTATTTTTACCATAGCTGTCCTTAGAAACAGTTTCTCCTAACATAATACCTGACTTTAATTCATATGAAATAAACAGGAAGTATATCCCGTGTATACAGTGCAATATGCTGCAAAGATAGCTTTCATCTTCTTTGTTCTCTCTCTAGTGCTTTCCTGCAAGTTCAAAGTTCAATTTCTGGATCAACAAAGTGTTAATCCATTCAATTGTCCCAGGAATTGACTCAGCAAGCCTGATCGTGAGCTGAAAAAGGGTGATTGGCATCAAGTGTCTCTGTCAAATTTCATGCATAATGATTCTTGAATTATCTGAGCTGGAAAACCAAACTGTAATGACAGAGTTTATTCTCTTGGGACTCTCCAATGATCCAAAAATACAGGATTTTCTTCTTTTCTTCTTCATGATCATTTTTTTAGTCACTATCCTGGCTAATATGGTAATTATATTGGTGATCAGGTCTGAACTTCACCTTCACACCCCCATGTTCTTCTTTCTCAGACATTTAGCTTTCGTTGACATTTGTTACTCATCGGTCACTGTTCCCAAAATGCTGGCAAACTTTATCCAGAAGCAAAAAACTATTTCTTGGGAAGGTTGTATTGCACAGATTGCCTTCTTTTTCCAAATTGCTGGAGCGGAAGTGTTCATCCTTTCAGCAATGGGTTATGACCGATATGTGGCTATATGTCACCCGCTGCACTACAGCAGATATTTGACAAAAGAGGTATGCAATAAAATGGTGGGTGGTGCTTGGCTCCTGGGTTTCTTTCATTCTATAGGCAATGCCCTTCCTTTGCTAAATCTCAGTTTTTGCAGCAACAATGTCATTAAACACTATACTTGTGACCTTCCTCCACTCTTGGCTTTGTCTTGTACAGAGACTCTCACTAATTACATTATTCTTCTAATATTTGTGTTTGCATTAGGTTTTAGCTCATTTCTTTTCACCTTGGTCTCTTACATTCGCATCATTTCAACCATCCTGAAAATTAAATCAGCAAAAGGCAGGCAAAAAGCTTTCTCTACATGTAGCTCCCACCTTATTGTTGTGGGTTTATTTTACCTTACATCTTTTTTTCACTATATGAAGCCAAGTTCAGAATCACTCATGGATCTGGACAAAGTGATCTCTATTCAATATAGCATTTTAACTCCAATGTTAAACCCTATCATTTACAGTCTGAAAAACAAAGAGATCAAATCAGTTCTATTGAAAATGTTTGGAAAATGGAGGACCATTCATTAGCCCTGAAATAATACTTTTGGTTTCTTATAACTACACAGCTGCAAACCTAGTACCCACAACATAAAAGGCTTAACAATATAGCATGCTTTAAGTGGAGGTTAATTATTTTGGGGTTAATTGAATATTAGATAATATTGAATAAGAGACAAAGGTACAATAGGCTAAAATGTATAATAATATATTCAATAGTATATTTAAAAACTGCTGAAAAAGAAATATAATGTATATAGATAGAAAGATAGAGATAGATAGATATCTCCTATTTAATTAGCAGGTTTTTTTAATGGTATAAAAGCATGTACTGCCATTTAAAATGTTTAAAAAAACAAAAGTAGCTCCACCAATTCCATATGCATGCAATTTCTAAATATATAAAATATTAAAACCTGTATTTTCCCCAAATCTAATTTTTAAACACATCTACACAAACACACAAACACACATACATACAAATATACAGTAGATGATAGATAGATAGACAGACAGACAGATTATTTGCAATATCAAATAAATGCAATTTCTAATATATTTTTATACTATAATATGATCTGCATACTTATCTGGGAAGTTGGAATCTCTCATTTAATATCAAGAACTGTCAATTAATTTTACATACCCACAAAACTGTCATCAACAATAGTCTGAGTATATATTGCATATTTTCATCATACAGCTATTTTTCAGTTGCTGCTGCTTTTGCTGTTTTGATACCATTTTTATAGCCCAAATATACATAATTTGATTCACACTGATAGATCTGCACACAGATTAACTGGCCATTTTATGTATGCTCTGTGAAGAAATTTAAAGCATAAATTACAAATGCTCTAAAGATATATTATTTATCATATAAAGAAAATGAGAAAGACCCATGCTCCTTTTAAATTATTTAATGAACACTGTTTTGTTTCCTGAAACCCTATCATGAAAGAATCTTTCTCAGAGGTTGAATTTTGCTTTGAAATTGGAACTCAAAGAATCCTCATCATACCCTTGATTGCATCAAATTATGACAGCAACACGTATGAAGGATATGAAAAGGCATAAAAGATACAAAAATCCATATAATAACAGCAGCACGAATAATTTTTGCACAAAATTGGAAGAGTAGTGACACACCGACAGAAGATAGAGTAATTAATAAGATTATGGAATGTGCAGAAATGGACAGACTTTCAAAAGAATTACAAGATAAAGAGGAACATGATTATTATCTAGTATGGGAAAAGTGGTATACCTGGTTGAAAAATAGAAAAAGGAAAAAGGAATAGGAAGTAATTGGAGTTACAGAAACAGGAACATAAATCACTAACATAAATTAACAATGAATCATAAAGATAGATATATGAGTAAGATCAAACAAGGAAGAGTCAAAACACAAATAAGAACATACATTACTGTTGTTTCTTTGACAATATATATTTGACAAAATGTATATTTGAAATCTTTGTTTACATGTTTTGTTCTGTATGTTTTGTTGTCACTAGTTCTGTTTTGTTTGTACTTTTAAACAAATAAAATTTATTTAATTAAAAAAAAGATACAAAAATATGAAGAATTCAATTCTTATACTGTTGAAACTGTGTAATGTATAGGGTTACTTATTTCTTCATTGACTGTTAAATTGATGGAGTCTGTTAATTTGGGTTGGTTCACTTCAGCTTTAGAATTTTTAAAAAAATGTTCTATGTAATTTATTTTTATTTTCTAAGTCATAAAGATTGATTGAAGTGGACAATACGGAGATCTACACAGAAATGATTAAATCCATACTTTTCAAAACTTAACCTTTTTAGCTATTCTAGAGAAGAGTTCCCCAACCTTTCTGGTTTTGTGGATTGATAGGGGGAGGGAACACACTCCCCCTTGGTACACATTCACTCAAATGGAGCATGCACACACATGTTCATATGCTGCTTACACAAGTGGAGATGCATATTCTCATGTTTATTCACCACTTCCATGGCCCAGTTCTGAATGGCACACAGCCTGGTAGTGCGTTGCAACACGGGGAATGTCAGGCTACACTGTAAGGATGTTTGGTCTGGATCCCAAAGAAAACAGCATGTTTTATCCATGTTTTATGGATTGTTCTGAGCTAGCTAGACTATGAGATACATAGCCATATGAGTCCTATAAATAAATAAATTGATTAAATTTTGAAAAAATGTAACATATTTCATTTCCTTGCTGCAGCATTTACAATAAAAGTGTTAATTGCCAACCACTTTTATGCACAAAAATTGGTTATTATGTGAATTCCTTTAAAAATCTTAGTGTGTTTGACTACATGTAAAAACCACCCTAATTAACTTTAGCCTATATTCAGTCTGCAATGATATCTGTTTTCTGAACTATACTAACCAAAATTATACAATTGTTTTTGAGATGAAAGAAAGAAAAAGCCAAGTGCTTTTCTCTTCTACAAACATAGAATATCTCTTCAAAGAAGAAGAAGAAGGAGGAGGAGAAGGAGAAGGAGGAGAAGGAGAAGGAGAAGAAGGAGGAGGAGGAGGAGGAGGAGGAGGAGGAGGAGGAGGAGGAGGAGGGGGGGGGGGGGAACAGACCCAGGAAAATACAGACCAATAAGTCTAACATCAATACCTGGGAAGATACTGGAAAAATAATTTAAAAAACATAGATCTGTGAACATCTAGAAACAAATAAAGTTATAACTAGTAGCCAGCATGGATTTGCTAAAAACAGATCATGCCAAACCAATGTTATTTCATTCTTTGACAAAGTGACTGAATTAGTCACTTTTTCAAAGCAAAATGCTGTGGACATAGTATATTTAGACTTTAGCAAGGGATTTGACAAAGTAGACCACAACCTACTTTTTGCTAAGCTAGAAAAATATGGGATAGACAGCATTACCACCAGATGGATTTGTAATTGGTTGACAAACCATACTCAATGAGTAGTCCTTAATGGTACCACATCCACATGGAGGGAAGTAAGCAGTGGGGTACCACAAGGTTCTGCTTTAAGCCTAGTACTCTTCAATATCTTCACAGGTGAAGAACTAGAAGGGGAACTCATCAAATTTGCAGATGACACTAAACTGGCAGGAATAACCAACACCCCAGAAGACAAGCTCAGGATCCAAAAAGATCTTGACAGACTTGAACAATGCAACCTATCCAACAAAATGAATTTTAATGTGGAGAAGTTTTACACCTGGCCAGAAAAAAACCAAAGGTACAAGTACAGATTAGGCAAAACCAGGCTCCAAAACTGTGAGAGGTACCTTGGTGTCTTAGTAGATGATCACTTAAACATGAGTCAACAGTGTGCAGCAGCAGCCAAAAAAGCTAATACAATCCTTAGTTTTATAAACAGAGGCATAGAATCAAAATCATATGAAGTATTAGTACCACTTTATAAAGCCTTGGTAAAATCACACCTGGAATACTGCATCCAGTTTTGGTCACCACATTACAAAAAAGATGTTGAGACTTGGGAAAAAGTGTAAGGAAGAGCAACTAAGATGATCAGGCATGGAGGCTAAAACATATGAAAAAATGGTTGGAGGATTTAGGTTTGGATAATCTAGAGAAAGGAAGGACTGGGGGGACATGATAGCAGTATTTGAGAGGCTGCCACAAAGAAGAGGGGGTCAATTTACTTTCCAAAGCACCAGAGAGCAGGACAAGAAACAATGGATGAAAACTAATCCAGGAGAGAAACAACCTGGAATTGAGGAGAAGCTTTCTAACAGTGAGGACAATTAACCAATGGAACAGCTTGCCTTCAGACATTATGGGTGCTTCATCCCTGGAGGTTTTTAAGAAGAGACTGGACAGTCACTTGTCTGAAATGGAATAGGATCTCCTGCTTGACCAGGGAGCTGGATTAGAAGACCTCCAAAGTCCCTTCCAGCTCTATTCTGATTCAATGTCTCTTCTACTAGAATCAGTGGCAAAATTCTTTTAATTCTTACTTCAAACATGCTGAATTAGAGAGCTTCCAAATAGCCATTCTATGTTTTGTGTCTAAGAAATTTCAACAAGTCTGGACCTAGCTATCCTGATAAGTCAAATGAAACTGGAAACTTCAGCTGTACTGCTGAGATATTGTTGGGGACCTTGAGAATCTGATTTGTTTTTCACTACTCTCATCATAATAGATTTAATACTATCACAAAGGATTAGAACATTTTCTGACCTGCTATCTTGGTGATGTCATAACTTTCAACAGTTGTTGAATAAATGGACATAACTTGAGGACTACTGATCAACTATAGGTGAAAAACCTAGAACAGCAGTATAATTTCCATCCAATCTTCTCAGTCCCAATGCACCTGTTGCAACAATCTTGGCCATTACTCTGGTAACCAACACTTTGTTCTAGTAATAGAAGCAAATATCTATCTTGATGGAACAATTAGCTCTGACCGTGAAGCTGCTAGTCTAGCAAAAGAGTTAGAATCAAAGTCAGAAGCCAGCATAGATGGCCTTCTGTTTTCCAACACTGGGTTTCCTATTATTGTGGCAAGCCAGGAAATTTACTCATCTTCTTCCAAATCAAATATGTATTGGAGTCCCCCTTGAAATGTCAAAGACATGTAACATCATAAACTTATCAGATATTTGCTATTAATTTACTCTTAATATTTAGTGCCGACTACATCACTTATGGAAGGGACGTGGTAGCTCAGTGGCTAAGACACTGAGCTTGTCAATCGAAAGATTGGCAGTTCAGCGGTTCGAATCCCTAGTGCCGCATAACGGGGTGACCTCAAAAGTTCAAAAGCATGTAAAAAATGCAAGTAGAAAAATAGGGAGCACATTTGGTGAGTAGGTAACAGCATTCCGTGGGCCTTTGATGTTTAGTCATGCCAGCCACATGACCACAGAGATGTTTTCGGACAGCTCTGGTTCTTCAGCTTTGAAACGGAGATGAGCACTGCCTCCTAGAGTCGGGAATGACTAGTACATATGTGCAAGAGGAACCTTTACCTTTACCTTTACATCACTAATTTTTAGTTCTGTCATGAC